TGCCCGCCAGGCCCAGGCAGTCCAGAGCTCCTGCCCTGTGCCTTGCGCCCTGCTGCCCCCGTGCGCCCCGACCAGACGCCCAGGTTCGTCCAAAGCAGGGCCCGCACGGCCAGGGAAAGAGTTGGTGAGTGCGGGGAGAAGAGGGAACGGTTGGGCGCCGGTGCCCAGGACTGGTGGCCCAGGCTCAGGGAGGGTCCGCGGAGAAGTGTGCAGCTACAATGATGTGGAAACGCCCCCAGTGACCCCCTAGCCTCGCTCCAGGCTGGTGAGGAAATCCTGCCCAGCCCCCAGAACCCCAAACCTCACCCGGATAAGAGTATCAGCAGGCCATTTTGAGGAAAACTGTGCTTTTAATTAGAAACCCTATTGGGGGTGAGGGGGGCGGACTGAGCTGGGGCTGGGACCTGAGAGAATTCGCACTGGGCTGGACGCCCAGGGGCCCAAGGCTGTTTGGGTAAATACTTCCTCCTGGGCTGCTGCCCTGCAAATCATGGGGTCAGGGCCCTGGGGGTGTCCTGGCAGGGGAGGAGGCGCCCTGACCTCCAGAAGCCCCGGGTTTATCTGAATCCTCTTTCGTTTGCTGCCAGGCTCCATTCCGGTCCATCCACCCAGTTGTAGAGATATGGGGAGAGTCTGTGAGCAATACCCTCCTTATAAATCCCCAAAGATTTCATAGGCTCAGACCTTAACCAAATTTAAAAACCCACTTCCTTTTCAGTTGGATTGGGGCCTTTAGACCTTTTTTGTCTTTTTTGTGTGTTTTAATCTTATATACATATTTCTTTCTCAGAGGTTGGAGTGATAATGGGGGGAGGGGAGGCCCCCAGTAGCCCACTAGCCGCAAAGGCTGACCCTGCCCGTGGAGGTGAAATCCAGGGAGAGAGCCAGAGCCTGCAGACCATGCGAGCTGAGCCGAGACATTGGCCCGCAGGCGAGGACAGTGCCAGGCACCCAGATGAGCAGGCAGGGATCTTACTGATTAAGGCATTCGTGACGGAAAATTACCAGCAGCTGAGTGGGTCTGGTGGGAGGATTGGGGGTTAAAGTAGGCTGGTGGGAAAGGTGGCTCTGGTGGCCTTGGATGAGAATGCAGTGGCTGCTCCTGTGGTTGCGTCAGCCTTCTAGGTCTGACTATCTCATTCTTTTAGGAGCAGCCTCTGGAGCAAGAGCTCTCCCCTTCCTCCCTCCTCTTACCCGTCCACCCCCTTCTATTCTAACATCCCCGCATCATACAGGGCTGGAGAGGGCCAGAGCGGTCCGGGAGCCTGACCGTTGTCCATGGTACAGATGGGAAAGCTGAGACCCAGGAACTTGTCCCAGGTCACAGGGCCGGCTGATGCCTGAACTGGGAAGGGAAGCCAGTTCCTGACTCTCAGCCCCCCATCGTCCGGCAGCCTCAGCCTGGGACCCATCCTTGCTGAGGACACTGGAGCTGAGGCCTTCGCTACAAATGCCAGACCTGTGTCCGTGTATAAATGAGGGACCTGGGAGGGCAGAGGGAGTGGGCAGGCTGCAGAGTGCCCACCCAGTGTCAGTGCAGGAGTGGCCTCGGAGCCCCTCCTTGTACCCCAGGTATGCCGGTGACCTGCAGCAGGGAGGGACTTCCCCTGGGAATGTGCTCATTTTGCAGCTGATGAGGGCTGGGGGATTGGTTCCTACCAATGGGCGGCAGGCCCAGCTCTGGGGGCAGCATTTGGGCAACAGCCAGAAAGGTGAATGCAGAGACCCCACAACTGGCACCTGTGCCTTCCTTCAGGTGTGTGCCTGCACCTTTATCAGCAAGAACAGCACCTCACACCTGGATTCTGAGTCAGCAGGCATTCCTGCCCCTCTTAGCTGGGCATTTAGTGAGGGACGTTGACTGGCTCCCTGGTTTTATTTGCTCAGGCGGTGACGGCTCGTAATCACCCCTGTGCCAAGGCTTAGGGAGCAGCCGCCCAAGATGTGGTCGGGCCAAGTGTCATGAAGGAGGAACCCCCGCCCAGATCTCCCTTTAATTCAGCCAAAGTATGAACTCAAACCTTTAACAATGAAGATGACACACCATTGAGATTCTGTATTTTGGATCCAGGATATTCCTTTTATAAAACCAGTTCTGTGTCTTTCCAATGCTTTCACCTCTATGTCAGCCCCTCTTCTCTGCATTATAACTATTCAGTCTCAAAGATGAAAAGTGTGGTTAGCTCTGAGCAGTGGGAACAGGCGCAAACTGAAAGTGTTTTCAGGAACCGCATGACTCGGAGTTATCTCCACCGAAATGGGGCCGGGGACAGATAGAGCCTGGGGGATGGAGCTGCCCTCCCAACACGTGCGCCCTGGGAGCTTCCCCCCAGGTCAGGCGCCACATCAGCCCTGCACCCTCCGTGGGCTGCCCTTGACTGTTGTGGGTCAGGGGTACCAGCTGGAGATCGTGCCTGGGTGAGCAAGGAAGCAGGGAGTGATGGGCTGAAAGGCTGTCCCCTCTCTGAGCCCCCGTGGGCCCCGTGGCAGGCTGTGCCTGGCAGAGGGGCTGGCTCTTCCACCTACTGCAATGTCCCCGTTCATGTCCCAACCTGAGGCAAGCCAGAGGGGGTACTAGCAGCACATCCCCTAAATGCCAGTGAATTGGGGTGTGTGTATTTTAAATGCTGAAGTCAAACATATTCTTCATTCAATTTAAGATTATTTTCTAAACATAGGTTTTTTTTTTTAAGCTTTAAGCATTTTGTTAATCCACTAAATGGGAAGATAGGGTCACAATATATAAAGAACATGTCGAGGACCTTTGGCCCTCAACCCCGGCTGTCGTAGGAACCGCACCCTCGAAGCATCGCCTCCCTGCCGCATGGCACAGCCTCCTCCGAGGCCACGTCTGAACCTGGAGTCCCTCTCCCTCCAGTCCTCTCCCTGCCCCTGCTGCTCACCCTGGAGTTGGGCCAGAACCAAAAATAAGCACTTAGGTAAAACTTTTTCAGGTACTGTCTAACCCATGAAGTAACAACAGTCTGGTCATGGTTTAACTATGTGGGATGCATGTTTCAAAATGCATATTCCACATCACTGTTTTATTACACAGAGTACCGTGGACACATGTCGCTTTCCTTAAGAACTCAGGCTCATTGTCGGAGCCTCTAAGATGGTATTAGGCCGTAATGCCATGGGCGTGGGTGCGGCTGTGTGCCCCCCTCTGCTGTGGCCGCCCGGTCGCGTCTCAGCATGTTCCTGGCGGGCCTCGCTCTAGGCAGCCAGGAGCCAGCGTGGGCCTCTTCCCCAGGAGGGGGATGTCACTGCTCAGCTGATGGTCACGCACCCTCCTCTGCTCTGAAATTAGGATTTCAAAGAATGAGCTTCTTAGGATACAACTTTTTTTTTTCAAAAATGGTAAAAAAAAACAGAACTGAATACATCCCAGTCATCCATCAAATAACTTTTTGTTCCAATTTTTTTAAACCCAGAAACTGCGTGCTCCGGGGAGCATCAAAAATCTGTTTTGTTTTCATGTTTTCTGGTCCAGAATCTAAATCCAACTCTACTGAGGACAGTTTGGATGATCCTGGCTCTCAGGGCCCCTCCCCAGGGGTTCACAGTCAGACTGCGCTTGAGGGTGGAGACCCTGAGGGGTCGGGCAGAAAATGGAAGTTGCTTTCCATCAAGTTTAAGGCACAAGCCAGGGGACATTCTAGTCGACAGCATGGGATCTCTGTGGAAATTTTCATCTCAAGTGTACCCAAGTGCTGCTTGGCACATGTTACTTTTCATAATTAACCTCTTACGCAAGAAGAGGAAGTCTGTTCCCACAGTGAGCACTTCCATGGTCAGCAGCCTGAGGGAGACGCTCCCGTGTTCAGCAGCCGGTGGAGTCTTCCCTTTGACTTGAAGGCCCCCCAGGAGAGCAGATGGTTGGTCCCTTCTCGGACATTCCCGGGAGGATGGATTTCAGGCCCCAGGGAAGTCCTGCTGAAGTCACAGGTGGTTTGCAAACGGTCAGTCACCACAGCGGAACCTCATCCAACAAATCATGCCCCAGAGCAGGGCTGTCTGGCTCCCAGGACCCCTAAGGCGGGACCCCGGGATCACACCTGGGGTCCCATCACAAAGCACGGCCTAGGACAGGGGGAAGGAGGTGTCCCTTGGCATCATGACACTTACTCCACAGTGAAAAGAGAATTAGGAACTCGGGTCTACAGGTGTGAGGGCCAGGAGGCGGAAGTCGATCCCTTTTAAAAGCAGGGTGTGGGAATGCTACACCGGTTCCTTTCGTTGCCTGTTTAGCCCAGGTACCCACAGGCTGCCTGGGAACCCGGACTCTGGGTGCTGCCTGGTGCTCCGTGAGTCAGCCAGCATCGCGGGCTTCCTGGGCTGACGCTATGATCCTGTGATTTTCCAGGTGTGAGCCTGACGAGGAGCCGCGATGGGGAAAAAGCTGGACCTTTCCAAGCTCACGGATGAAGAGGCCAAGCACGTCTGGGAAGTGGTGCAGCGGGACTTTGAGCTGAGGCGGAAAGAAGAGGAGAGACTGGAGTAAGTGCGTGGGGCTGAGCCCACGGAGCCCGAGTCCGCCACACCCCGGGGCTCAGTGGGTGGGTGAGCGGCATCCACAGAAACGCTCCTTCTGGCCTCAGTTTCCTCATAATTAAAACGAGGGCCCTGACTCTGCAACCTGACTTTTAGGTGTGCCTTAAGCAGTTTTATTTCAGCTTGATCCAGCCTCCAGGGTAACGTTGTCCCCAAACCGGGTGATGCAGGGGCCACCACAGTGCAAGAATGAACAGTGACAAAGGGGTAATGACTGGATCCATTCTGAAACGCCCGAATGTTGCAATGGAAGGGTTGGCAGTCGAGGCTGACTTTCCACCTTCCATTCTGATCACGTTGGTGGCCCCCATCCAACTGAGCGAAAGCCCACAAGCATTATTAACGCCCTCCTACCTTGCATGTTCCTCCCAACCTCTAACGCTTGGCTTCCACCGAGCTCCTTGTTATCTTTTCTGGGTATTTTGGGGGGTTGGTAGGCCTACTGAGAAGGAGACATTTGAGCAAAGACTCAAGGAGGTGAGGGAGTAGCCAAGAGAATGCCTACAAGGGCTCCAGGCAGCGCAGGGAGAGGAGGTCGTGGTGGCATCACGTGAGCTCCATGGACCTTTACAGGCCCTGGGTCTTTCTCTCCTCTGCTGACCTGGAGGCCTGTGAGCAGAGACTAGCGGGACCGACCTCCGCTCTACAGGCTGTGCGTTACTGAGCCGCAGTCACTTGTATTTTGAAGGGAGAGCCAGCAAATTTGCCCTCAGATTGGATGTGGGGTGGAGAATATGGGAGGAGTCCAAGGTAACTTCAAGGTCATGGCCTGAGGAACTGAGAGGATGGAATTGTCCCCTCGCCTGGGGAAGGCACTGTTAGACCAGGTCTGGGAGAAAGCGGGAAACAGAGCACAGTAATTAGGGGGGATTGTGAAACCAAGAAGCAAACATGCTCGTTCCTTGGAGATCACTTCCCTGTCCGGTGTCTATAGACAGAGCATGTGGGCTCAAGGTCAGTTCACCAAGAGCAAATTGGCCAAAAGGCAACTTGCTAAGCAGACAACTCACCAAGTTTACCAACTGAAAACAATCAAAGAACAAAAGAAGTGTTTCCTTTTATATTTACAGAGTTAACAGAGTGAGTATTAGGTGGGTTTCTCTCCAAATAGGAGCGTCGGTCCCCTGGAAAGGATGTTGGGCAGGTTTGGGAAAGACCCGGCACCTCCCCTGCTGGGTCAGACCAACGGACCTCCTGGCACTGACAAATGAGCTTGCCCAGGTCCCTGACATTGGCAAGGATGGAAGGCCACGGGGCTGTGAGACCAGTTTCACTAACCCCTGTATGACCAGACTATTCCCAAGACACAAGGCCTCTGACCCTTGAGCCAGGCCTCAGGCTCCCCAGGCTGTGCCAAAGATGTTCAAAGTCCCCCTGGGGACACAGAGGCGGGAGGCCTTGGCCCTTCTCCATGGTGCACCTCCTAAATGCCTTTCCAAAGAGAATGCGTTTTTATTCCAGGGAACAGGGTTGACAACAGCACTGACCTTGCGTGCGCCTTTCCTCTGAGCTGCCAGGAAGGAATTTCCCTTGGGGTCTGGCTCCTGAGCGGCAAGCCCCCTGGCAGGCGGCTTCAGGAAGTGGAGGAGAAGGAAGTGGGAGGCCACCTCGCCTTTCACTTAGCCCAGGCAGATAAAATCTCTCCCTGAAGTTGGCGTGTTCGACCAGGGACTTGGGAGTGGGGTGTTTACTGTACAGGGTGTGATGTTATTCCTGGCTTCCCATCAGGTTACAGTGCTGAGCACCAAAGGATAAAAAATTCAAAGATGTACAAAATTTGGACATTAACAACGTTGGCATCAGAAAGATTTAGGATGGAGTCTGGGCAGGGCGTTGCCATGGGGACGTGGGTCTTGCTGTGGATGAACTTTGAGCCTCAGAACAGGGTTGACATTTGTGTGAGAGAACGGACATCCTGATGCCAAGTCTGTTGCCCAGTGCAGGGCTTGGGCTGTGAGCCATGGGTGCGGCCACTTCCCTGTGTGGAGAGGGATGGTGACAACAGAGGCTTTGCTCCAAGGGGCTCCTCCGTCTTTGATGCTCCAGTGGCATTGGCCTTCGCTGTCCTCAAGGGCCCCCCTGCAGGTGTATGATGTGCTGGAAGGAAGCAGAGGGGGAGGGCGGACGACAAGTGAGGCTCCTGGGAGGTGATTCCAACCTCTGGTGCAAGAAACCAGCTACTGAGAGCAGAAGGCCCTTTGGGAAAGCAACATTCCTGCTGCTCATGTTCTCTTTAAATCCTTCCTTCCTCCGTGGGGTTTAGTTCTTGTGGAGATATCAGCTAATCTGGGATGAAGAAACCTTGAGAAAAAACAAAGTGGGAGGAAGCACGCTCGCTGATTTCAAAATGTACCACAAAACTACAATAATCAAAACAGCATCGCACCGGCATGAGCAGGTGTATAGACCAATGGGATAGAACAGTGGTCAGCAAACTCATTAGTCAACAGAGCCAAATATCAACAGTACAATGATTGAAATTTCTTTTGAGAGCCAAATTTTTTAAACTTAAACTATATAGGTAGGTACATTGTTATTAACTTAATTAGGGTACTCCTAAGGCTTAGGAAGAGCCACACTAAGGGGGCCAAAGAGCCGCATGTGGCTCGAGAGCCGCAGTTTGCCGACCACTGATCTAAACAGTAAGTTCATTCAACTAACTTACCCTGAATCTTTCTTGGACTTTGCACCTCCAGAGGCCGGGGTCAGTTAGCATTTAAACTACAGCCAGGATATTTCCTCAGCTGTCAGCTCATCTGTTTCATAGCCACTGATGGTTTACAAATTCTGCTTAAGCTATTCAAA